CAGAAGCCGAGCAGATGCCAGCACCATGCTTCCTGCAAAGCCTGCAGAACCATGAGCCAATTAAACTTCTTTTCTTTCTGACTTACCCAGCTTCGAGTGTTTCTTTATAGCAAAGCAAGAATGACCTAACACAGACAGAATGGTAGAGATGAGCATCCAGTGCTTTCTCTTCCCCTCACATCCTCCAGGCTCCCCTTTCACTATTCCATGTGAATTTTAGTGAGAATTGGTGTATCAAGTACGACAGCTCTTTTGACTGTGAATTTTATTGAATTTCATTGAAATTATAGATACATTTGGGGAAGTATTGACTTATTTATGGTGTTACTCCTTTTACCTATGAACATAGTAAATCGCTCCATTTATTCAGTCTTCTTTTATGTCCTTCGATAATATTTTATAACTCTCTTTCCTAGTCATCTTTCCTTAGCTGTATTCCTGGGTAACTTACAGTTTTTGTGATTTGGGTAAATCTTTTTTATTTTTCTATTACACTTTTGTATGGGCCTTTCCTAACATACAGAACTACTTTTGATTTTCGTATATTGATTTTGAATCTAGATTCACTTCCTAATTTTAATAGGTAGTAGAATGTTTGGGAATTTCCCTGTAGACTACTCATCTGCACACAATGGCATTTTGCCTTTTCATCCCAATCCACATTCTGACACTTCTGCGCCTTACACTGAAGTGGCCAGCACCTGCAGAAGATAGCAGCATTCTAGAAAGTTCCTGATGTCATTATCGTTTCATGACTCTAAAGTTTCATCATGCAATTCAGCGTGTGCTTTTTCTCCTTCTCCTCAGACCTTCTTTGTCTCCCCTCCTCCTCCTCTTCCTTTTCTGTTACGTTTATCAAATAAAGGATGTCTTTTGTCTTTTCTCTGACGTTCTGGATTTCCCAGGAGGTTGTCAGTGTTCTCTTCTGTTTGGTTGCTTTTGAGACCGGTGGCAAATCCGCACAGCTCTGCAGCAACCTCAATTCTTGCCTGCTCAGAAGAAAGTATTCGACTGAGGGGCATAAGGCAGAAGGAAAACTGAGGCAAGTTGTAACCCAGGCATGGAAGTTTATTAGAAAGCTTTACAGCAGGAATGAAAGGAAGTAGAGGGTGGAGTGGGCAACTTGAAAGATCAAGTGTGTGGTTTGACCTTTGACCTGGGGTCTTACACGTGAGCACGTTTCCAGGGTCTGGCCTCCCTTCTCCCCTGACTCTTCCCTTGGGGTGGGCTGTGCACATGCGCAGCGGCCCGCCAGGGAGCATGCCCGCTGTGGTTACTGGAGTTGTGTGCCTGCTCACTGGAGGCGTTTTTCTCTTAACCAGCACAATGTCCCTTGGAGGTCACAGATCAGTTAAACTCTGCCATTTTGCCTTTCACTGGGCATGCTTGAGCCCACTGGCCCAACTCCTGAGGTCTAATCAGGAAGCTGCTGATCACCACTTTGAAGCATTTCTGTTTATTGTGACCAATTAGTATTTTAGAGACACAGTTAACAAGCACCTGACCATCACCTGCTGAATAGCAGGAACGTTGCCTGACCTTCCTGGTGTGTGTGGTGGGGGGTGTGAGGGGCGCTCTCTCCTGCTCTGCTCATGTCTGACTCATTGGATTCAGCAGAGTGGAAGGGGGAGACCCCTTCTGACCCTGGCCACCTGTCTCCGTGGGAAGGCAGATCCATTTGAGTGAGAGTCCTAGGCAGTACCTGAACTGTCTCTCAGTTCCCAGGACAAATCAACCCACTTGACTGTGATGCACATTTTGTGACTACATTGTGACATTGGATTTTCAGATATTTTATTTAGAATTTTTGCATCTATATTCTTCGGGAGATTGGCCTGCAATTTTCTTTTCTCACAATGTCCTTGCTCAGTTTTGATATCAAATTATATGGCATCAGAAAATAAGTTAGGTATTTTATTTGCTTCATCTATTCTGGAACAATTTGTATAAGAAGATAATTTTCTGTTTCTTGAAGCTTTTGTGAAACTCTCCTGGAAAAATCACTGGAACCTGGTGTCTGAATTATTTTTATAAATTTTATCTAAAAACCATTTCTTCTAGGTGTTCAAATTTACTGCCAAAAAATTATTCATTATAGTCCTAAGATTTGTAGCCTCCCTTTTCATCTGTAGTCATGAACTCTTTTTAAGTTCCTAGTGATGCTTCGTGCCTGCTTTTTTCACCATGACCTGTTCACTCAGTTGACTATTTTTTTTCATTAGTTTCCAAAAAGACATCTTTGGTTTTATCCGTTAGCCATATTTTGTCATATCTGTTTTCTTAATTTCTGCTCTTATCTACTATTGATTTTCTTCTCCTTCTTATAGACTTTCTCTTACTTCAGTAGGTTCCTGAATTGAATGATTAGCTCATTTATTTTATAACATTTTAAAATTCATTAAAAGCTATGCATTTACTTAAGTAACTGCTTTAGCTATGTCTTATGAGTTCTGACATAAAGTTGCATTTCTTTCAACCAATTCTAAATATTTTCTTATTGCTATTATGATTTTTCTTAATACATGAATTATGTTATATGTAGTTTTAGTACATCTTTCTACACAAACTTATTATAAATGTTTATCTGCTTTTAGCATTACTCTTTTAAATGGCATATAGAAGGTTTTAAGTTATCTAATTAGTCTGTTTGTGATAGCTAATATTGTCACATTTATTGTAAGTACAGATATATTTATCTCTATTTTTGTTTTTTATTGATACTAGCTTCTATTTTCTCTATGTCTTGACTTTTTGTTTTTGATAAAGCTTTCTTATATCCTTTTTCCCTCCAATTTGCAGGTTATTATAGTTTATCTCTCTGTGTATTTTAGCTAATACATTTCAAATTTTAGCATAACTGTCTATTTTTCTAACAAAGTCTAAAGTTATTTGATGTTTCCCTCCTTCTCCAGGTGTCCCAACCCTAAATTCTTGTTTTATATTTTAATTCAATATTCCTAAATAAAAATTTCTAATTAGTGGTTAACCAGATTCACCAAAGTACTTCTATTACTATTTTTTGCTCAACATTAGCTCTAGCAGACCACTCCTTCCCCTTTAGTTCACTTTCTTCTTGCTGGAATATATCCTTCAGTAGCTTTCTCTGCAACCATTTGAGGATGGTAAATCATGTTTTCTTCCCTTTCATATTCTAAAATTATCTTGGCCTCTTCTTCCCTCACTCTTGAACAACAATTTCACAGAGTACATCAAATATGACATTTGCAGTTAGTTTTCTTGACACTCTGAGGTTATTCATTGTCTTCTAGCATCTACTGTCACTGAGGAGACATTTGTTATCAGTCTCATGGTCATTCTTTTGTCATAATCTCTCTTTTCTTTTTGGTACCTCTAAATATTTTCTTTCTCCTTTCTGCACTGCAATAATGTTTCATCATAATTCATGTATATTTATACATGCTCACATATATTTATCCTGCTCAGCATGCAATGTGTTTTATTAGCTGAAAGCTCCTGCTTTTTCATCAAGTCTAGAAACTGTCTAGCCATGATGATTTCAAACATGGTTTGCTTGCCTTTCCCCTTGCTTTCTCCTTCCTGCGTGGTGGAACCTCAATTTCTTTTCCGTATCTCTTAACTTCTCTCTCGTGTCTTAAGATTTTATCTCTGTGTGCTGCATTTAGAATGAGCTTCGCCGGGCACGGTGGCTCAAGCCTGTAATCCCAGCACTTTGGGAGGTTGAGGCGGGTGGATCACGAGGTCGGGAGATCGAGACCATCCTGGTCAACACGGTGAAACCCCGTCTCTACTAAAAATACAAAAAATTAGCCGGGCATGGTGGCACGTGCCTGTAATCCCAGCTACTCAGGAGGCTGATGCAGGAGAATTGCCTGAACCCAGGAGGTGGAGGTTGCGGTGAGCCGAGATCACGCCATTGCACTCCAGCCTGGGTAGCAAGAGTGAAACTCCGTCTCAAATAAAAAAAAAAAATAGAATGAGCTTCACAGTACTATCTTCTAGTTCGCAAATCTTTCTCTGACCAGGTTCATATCCATTTGTGATTTTAAAAAATTCCAGGCTGGGAGCAGTGGCTCATACCTGTAATCTCAGCACTTTGGGAGGTTGAGATGGATGGATCACTTGAATCCAGGAGTCCAAGACCAGCCTGAGCAATGTGATAAAAACCCATCTCTACAAAAAAATACAAAAATTAGCTGGTTGTGGTGGTGCACACCTGTAGCCCCAGTTACTAGGGAGGCTGAGGTGGGAGGATCACCTGAGCCTGGGAGGTTGAGGCTGCAGTGAGCTGTGATCAAACCACTGTACTCCAGGCACCTGGGTGGCAGAACAAAATACCCTGTGTCAAAAAAGAAAAAAAATAACTATGATATGTTTCTGTTCTAGCATCTTGAATTGAGCTTTAAAAAGTGATCTATTTTAATTCATATCTAATCCGTAACCTTTTCCAATTTTTCATATATTTCTTTCTAAATTTACATCTTTGAGACCTTTAGGTATTCTGTAGACATCTTGAGGTTTTCCTGTTGTTTGCATTTCATTGCTGGTGCATGTCTTAACTGATAATTGTCACTTTAGTGTAAATGTTCTTCATGCTGTTCAGAACCTTCGATTGAGAGAGTCTCTCTCTCCCTCCTGCCCTCCACCCAACCCCGTAGTTCTGCAGGTACCTTTTTTCTGCTCCTGAGAATCCTGGTCAGAACCATGCTATACTGGAGGCCCCTGCTCCAGCCTGTCAAGACACTGAGGAAGCACAGGTTCAGTCACGGGATGATTGGCCAGCCCATGTCCGGACCACGTGGCTGCTCTGCTTCAGCTGGGACCAGGTCTCCCCGGCCTCCTTTCACTTGCTCCTAGTTTCATCCATGAATCTAGCTGGAGTCTCCTGCCACGTGGGGTTCCTGGATCCCTGTCAGTTTCAAGAGCCAGATCCCTGCTGCTTCCAACGGACTCTTGCCCCTGGGAGCCCTGCGCGTCCGCAGCTTTGCCCGTCCTAGCACGTGCCTCTATTTCAGGTCCACGGAGCAATTTCTTTTTGTTTAGAGCATTGGTAAGTACCTGAGAATAAATTCGATTGACCTTTGCTGTGTTGGTGAAGAGAGCCAGTTCCACGTCTGAACTCAGCTGTAAAGTTTCCTAGTAGTCCAGCCCCACATCCTCCCAGGGCTTGGCTTGCTGGAGACGTCTCTGAGTAGGAATGAACAAAGCAGAGTCAGTTCCTCCAATCTCCTGTATGTTCGTATTTTAAGGTGCTAAGAGTCTTCTCCCTCTGAAGCTATAGAGAGGGAGCTTTCAGGTGCAAGGAGGACCCAGGGCACAGTCTGTTCCTCTAAACCCAGGAACACCAGGAATGCACAACCAGGCTCCTTATCCAGGGGATGGAGTGGAGCCTGCAGGCGAAGGAGGCAGGGCCTATCAGAGGCCTGATGGAAAAGGGCCCCCAGCACAGCTGTGTCGGGGGCAAAAGCCATGAAGGGAGATAATGAGGCTGCTCTTTGATGGGCTGGTGATGCTGTCTTTCCTAATGAGATGTTAAATGAAGTTATGGCAGACACAGACTTCACTGATTTGGGAAAAGATGATCAATGAATTCTCAACTTCAAGTGCACTTATTAGCTGCTGCCTGACACGACAAACTGAAAAACTTGGAGATGAAGTTAGTTGTGTCGGCTTGACCCAGCTCAGTCTAAGTGTGTGTGTGTGTGTGTGTGTGTGTGAGAGAGAGAGAGAGAGAGAGAGAGAGAGAAGAGAGAGAGCGCATTTTCTTGAATAACTAAAATTCACTGACAGGTGGCTCCACGTTAGACGCATGCTATGCAGCCATTCCGGCTACAGCTGCCCAAGTCTGCCTGAGCCTCCTGCATGAGGTCATCGGTCTTAATAAAGCCACTGACCCCACACTCGGAATTGTACTGACTTTTCCAGCTAACAGCCAACACATTGTCGAGAAGCAATTCAGTTGTTGAGGATATCACATCATGCCAGTGAAAGAGAGATGGAATTCAGAAAACCTGGGATATTGCAGGTAATTACTAAAGCATGTACTTTATAGATCAGTGTGCTCCATCGAGTCAAATCCAAATGGTCTGGGACCTCAACTGCATGAAAATCTCCAAAAATATTTGTGTTAAAAGCCCCTTAAACATTCCCTGTGGTACATTTGGAGCACAGGCAGTAAAAGATGTTTTTTTTCAGTGCCTTCTTCTCATGATTTAGAAAGGAAATGGGAGAAGTGACCCCCTGCCATCCTACACCCACAGGGAATCTGCTCAGCCACAGCAGAGCATCTATTGGTGTGCAGAGCGGATGGCAGGGACCCATCACACAACACGATTCATATCAAAGCAAGGAGTGGCCAAGCTTTCTCCTTCTAAAAATTCAGTTGCTTTAATTTCATGTTTAATGTGGCACAGGTCCTATCTTATAAAGAGACCATGAAAAATTGAGCAGCGTTAGACTGCACTGAGGTGATAACATTGATTTTACAAAAAGGTACCCATAATCCCGTAATCCCAGCACTTTGGGAGGTCAGGGAGGAGGGATCACATGAAGTCAGGAGTTCGAGACCATCCTGGCCAATTTGGTGAAACCCCGTCTCTCTTAAAAACAGAAAAATTGGCTGGATGTGGTGGTGCACATTTATAATCCTCACTACTCAGACGGCTGAGGCTGTGGGATCACTTAAATCTGGAAGGTGGAGTTTGCAGTGAGCTGAGATTGTGCCACTGCACTCTAGCATGGGTGACAGAGCAAGACTCTGTCTCAAAAACAAGCCAAAAAAAAAAAAAAAAGGTAGATGCCACGAGCCAAACTGCAGTTACAGTGATCAGTCGTCAGCCACGTTCACAGCTCTTTAAAAATTCATATTATAGAAATGTTTGTCTGTCTGTGGCCTCTATTGGATTGAAGAGAACTGACATTTATAATGCATCTCACAACAAATGTAATTTAAAGATATGATTAACATAATGCATCCCTAATCATCTCGTGATGCTTTCATTCACTCAGCAAACAATTTTGAGCTCAGATTATGTGTTTCAAACTGTGTTGGAGGCAGGGGCACTGCGGAGAACGTGCAGGAAGAGCTCTCTGACCTCACTTAATTTTCATTCTAGTGAGGGGGGTGGTGGTTTCAAGAAACAAGTCAACTGAAGAGGTAATTTCAGGTCATGATCATTCATCACAAAGGGGCAGGAGGTGACCCGTGTGCGTACGAGTTGAGGCAGATCTGAACCCTTCTCTTTCCCATGGCAGATTCTCCCCGTTCTCTGTCTCAGTGCTCCCCACTCTTCATTCATGAGTCTTATTACTATTCTCTTTCCATGAGCCCCATGCGGACAGAGGCTTTATCCAACCCCTTTGCTTGGTCACCCTGGGCCCGACATTCAGCCTGCCTGTGGCAATTGACATTCTGCATGAAGGAAGCAGTCTATCAGTGGAAACTCTGGCTGCCTGGTCCTGTCTCATGATGACTCTGGAATTATCGTAATCCTGTTCTTTTTCATTATTTCCACCATTCTGCTGTATGCAGTTTATGTTACAAGTACACGTTGGTGACTAAATCTTTAATTGTCCTCTGCTCATTTCATGGATCACTAGAAACCCTTTTTCCCCACAACTAAATTACTTCTTAAGGGCGGGGATGTGTCTTCAATTTCTTTCTTACGCCTCACCATCAGCGCATTTGAGCACTAATGTCTGGGCCGAGCCCAGTGCTCAGTCCATACTTGCCAACATGGTAGAATGTGTATTATTCCCTATGCAGTTACTGGGGCTCTGCAGCTGGAAGAGAGAGGAAGCTTGGATAATTGAAATATCCCCATCTCAGACATTACCGACTGAGGTTAGGTAAGGGCAAGTCAGACCAACTTTCATATCTTGGGGTTTTATTTCCTGCTGTTTTTTGTAAGTATTCTTTCAGAAAATCTTAAGAAGGAAAGTCTGGGCCACAGAGAAAACAGGGAGGTGAAGAAAGATTCTCAAATGTTTTTCTTTAGAAGTCAAGAGGTTGCTCTCATCAGTTTCAAGAAACAGCAACAAGAGAACCCAAAGGCCATGATGAATCTGTTTCGTCCCCTCTCCCTCTTCCCTCCTCCTCCATCCTTTCCTCCGTCTCTCCTTCTCTTGGAGACAATCAGCTCCAAATGGGATAAACAAGGAAAACGAAGCTTAGGTGCGGTCCACAAACACTGATGTGTCAACCGCCAAGAATGTGCTGGAAATTCAGGATGCACAAAGCCTCCAGGAGTTCATGCCTATTGGACTTGGCAAGTGGACAGTTGGTCTTAAAGGAGCAACAGTCTTCGTAGCTGCAGTGAGACGGAGCACACAGTATCTGGAAGGATTGGGATGAGTCACTTAGGGCGGACTGAGATTCAAGCACAGAGAGCCCTTGGGTTCTCTGCTGGGACAGAGGCATCTTCTTGCTTCTCTTCTCCCTTCCCTCAGGCAAAGTCGTTCCCTTTCTTCATGCTCTGCCCTGCCACAGACCTTTCTCTAACACCCGAAAATGACTGGTCTTGCCTTTAGTCTTTTTAAGTCCTTATCATTACAACAAAAGATTGGCTGCAACTTTATCTCCTCTTCGTTCAGAGTGAGGCAGTGTGGCAGGGTGGACGGGCTAACAGTGTCGATCAATAAGACACGGCCTTGACATTCACCGGCTATTAGATCTTGGCCGAGTTACTCAATGTCTTGTGACTTCCGTTTCCCCTTCTGCTAAGTGGAAACAGTAATTACCACCCACTGGGTGAGAAAGAAGATCCAATGGGTTAAGGCTGGCAAAGCATCTTGCAGATTACAAGGTGCTCTCTTGACTGTTAGCTAGTTATCATGGCTATGGGTTGGTTACTATCACCAAGGAGTCTAAAATGTAGTTACAGATGCAGAGTTCTGTTTTGTGCTCCAATGACTCTGCACTATTAGGAGAACAGAACAGGTGGTCATTTCCTGATAGATGAGTCTATTCCACAAACATTTATTAACAAACCACCTGCTACACAGGCCTTCCATTCAGCCCTGCAGACAAGGTAAAAATGAGCAAGACAGCATCTCAATATAGGCACTTTCTTTCAAGGAAATCCCATTTTGTCCGATGATATTTGTGGTTGGTAGAATAACGGTCCCCCAGGGATGTCTATGTCCTAATTCTTGGAACCTGGCATATGTGACCTTACGTAGCAAAGGAAAATGAAGATTGCAGTTAGAATTAAGGTTGTTCGGCTGACCTTGAGCTGAGGAGAGGATCCTGAGTGACCCACGTGGGCCCAATGTAATCTTCAGAGTCTTTAAAAGTGGAGGAGGAAGTCAGAAGAGTCAGAGAGAGAGAGAAGCAGGAGAAAGACTTGGCCCAGTGTTGCTGGTTTTAAAGATGGAGGGGCTACCAGCCTAGGAATGGGGGAGACCCTGGAATATGGACAGGGCAAGGATGTAGATTTTCCTCTTGTGTCTCCAGAGGAACGCAGCCCTGCTGCTAATGCAGCATTTTTTACTTCTCTGCTCTGCTAGGTCCAGGCTCTTGACTCACAACCAAGAAGTATTAGGCACGCAGACACTTGAAGACTGAGTGGAATAGACTTTATTAAGCAGAAAGAAAGCTCACAACAAAGAGAGGGGTCCTGATAGCAGGTTCCCAGTTGTCCCCTTCCCAATGGAATACCAGTGTGTGTGTGTGTGTGTGTGTGTGTGTGTGTGTGTGTGTGTGTGCCTGTGTACAAATAGGGAATACACACACACACACACACACACACACGTATAGGGAAACTGTTATTATATACATATGAGGTGAGGATTTTCATATATATATTTCATATATATATATGAAAATCACCCCGAGCCCACCCTGCAGGCTTCTTGTCCAGCCACTTCCTCCTCCAACGATCAGAGAAAGGCAGGGATAGATCTGGCAGCAGAGGCGGCCCTGTCCCCAAAGGGTCGGGGGACCTGTTCATCAGAGTAAAGCACCTGACCAACTGCCCTTGACATTCCGTCCCTGACCCTTTCGAGGCCAGGTTGGGTTCGCCAGGCTGCCTCCTTCTATCTTTTTTTTTTCTACACTGTCAATCAATAGAAAAGACATCAGAGACATTTACGAAGCACAACTAATCAGTTAGGCATTCAATTAATTAGGCAATCATTTTTCTGCACTTGATTTTCATTACAGGGAGTTTATTTTCGTTTCTTGTGTAGCGAAAAACAGGTGCTCACATTTAGCTTCATCAGCTTCCTGTTGCTGTTGGATTCACATATTATTTTAAAAAAATAGGGTCATTTTAGGGGAAAACGTGACCTGGGAAAACCCACTCGTATTTACTCCCCAAGGTTGCTGCTTTTGTTGTGGTGTTGGTGGGTTTTTTCCCCCCAGTACTGGGACGGTTTAAAAACATAAGTGAAGCCGGATCACATTCCACCCGCCATTGCTGAAGCCTTTGTTCCTACTCACAAGTTGTGCCTTTTCCTTTCTCAGAGAGGAAAGAGGCCTAAATTTACAGTTACTAGGAGCCTCTGAAACAGGTTAGCCCCAACGTAGGCAGTGGTTAACATGATTTCCTAAAAAGCGACTCTGTTTACCCACTGACGGCTTCCAGACCCCTCCTAGAGGGGCTCAGGGCTGCTGTAAACCCAGACCCAGTGGCATAAGGCCGGGTGTGAGTCCTGGTGCAAACCCAGGATCATGACCCACATATACACTGTTTCTCAGTACCTCCAGGATCAAGCCCCCATTCCCACTCCGAGGGGATTTGAAAATGCTGCTCGCTGAGGTGGAGCTGCCCTCATGGCGCACGTGGAAGAAGACAACGATATTCATGTTAATTACTTTCCCGAATGCCATTCTAAAGGGAAGAAACACACCAGTCTGCTTTCTGTTTTCAGATGATGTTGGCACGCTTCTCCTCCAGTCCAGCTGCACTTGCCAGGTCTTTAAAGCACAAGCGAAGACGGTTAAGCTGCGCCCCCATCTCACCCTCCCTTCCCTGTTTTTCCTTTGTTTGTGATCTGAAGGGTTAATGTAAAAATAGATGTTCTCCAGGCATTATAGAGTTCCTCTCTGGGTTCCCATGGAAACCAGGCAGCACAAGTGTGTGAAGAATTGTTTTAAGTTAGCCCGAGATTTTATCCTCCAAAGACTTAGGGTCATTCTGCCTTATGGTTGGGGAATTTTTTAAAAAGATTTTTTAAAGTAATTAATAGAATCTCCTCACCTGCCCTCCATCACCCACCCCCACCGCCATTCACAGAGCATTCTTTTATTTAAAATGTCCACCACAAAGGTTATCTTGTGACATTTCAAATAATGCAACCCCTTGAGGGTATTTTTTAAAAAGTTCTTTTGGGACAAAGTTTGTTCTCAACCTCAGAAGAAGGAAACAAAAGAGGTACTTTCTTCCTTCATTTAAAGTAATTTGGAATTGCTCCTGAGGTTAGATTCTTGGAAATTGAAGGGAAGCAAGCTCGGTCACCACCCCTGAACTACAGCGATGACATCCCATGGGGACACACGAGACAAATAAAATACTGAGAAACTCGAGGTTCTCACTCCGCCCACAGAGCTCGGAGTTGTGGCCGCCTCTTCCAGCTCCTTTTCAGTTCAGATAAATTGCACTTGGCCAACGGAAACGTCCTAAGGGCATTGCGGCTGCAGCTGGAGGAGGAAGACGACATCAAATTAGGGCTTTTGTCACTGTTGCTTGATTTCATTAAAGGGCATTAGTTTTCCGCGAGATGTATGGGATTGGAGAGGAGAGGAGCTGGAAGCCCCCAGAACAGCAGCAAGGCCAGTGCCGGTGAGGACCCTGAGCTGTTCTGCTACCACGTGCCTGGACTGCATTGTGCTTCCCGCCCTGCCGTGCCGGCCCAGCGGTGCTCTGCTCCATCCCCCTCAGCCGGCCTGAGACCGGCCCCCAGTGCGTTGTGACTCCTGGGGTCTCTCCGTTGTCCCTCAGCCCCCAGGAGAATTGCCCTCCCCTGCAGAAGCTGCCTGATGGGGAGGCTGCCCCCTCTCCGGGACTGACTGACCCAGGTACAATGGTGGAGCACCCTGCGGAGCAGTTTGGGCTCTGGATTCTCCCTTGAGATTAGGCCAAGGCCTGAGTCATCCTGGCTTGAGGTAGAAAGAAGGTCTCTACAGCCAGCTTCCTTCCTTCCCTCCCTTATAGGTTTATCCTGAAAGCAGCCTCTCCCCAGGTCAGAAGGCTTCTCAGGCTCTGTTTCTAGGGAGCCTGACCCGCTGACAGTGCTCCTAGCTGGATTCTGTAAGGTAAAGATACCCTTTTTCACGGATTGAGTTGTATCCTCCTAAAAGATATCAAAATCCTGACCGCTCGTATCTGAGAATGTGGCCTTACTGGAAATCAGCTCTTTGCAGATCATCAAGTTGACACGAGGTCACTGAGGTAGGCCTTACTCCAATAAGAAATGTCCAAGGTCAGTGTCAAACGACAAATCAAATGTGAAAAGTCAATGTCAACAGAAAAATCAAATGTAAAAGGTCGGTGTCAAAGGTCATATCAAATGTGTAAGGTCAATGCCAAACGTCAAATCAAATGTCAATGGTCAACGCCCAAGGACATTTGTGTCCCTGACAAAGTCTTTCTCACTGAGCAAGCTTTTGTCTGTCTTGCCCACCCCCCGTTGCAGCCCAGTTGCAGCAGAAGCCCTGCTGAGTCCAGAGTGAGAGTCCCCGTCCCTAGCATTCCTCTCGGTGTTTCCATCCACCAAGGGTCCCTGGACTGCAAATCCCAGATGTCTTCATTGCGTTTGGAATTCAGCTCAGTCTCCCTCCTCCATTGCAGTGGTCTTGAATAAAGTCTTCCTTACTGTTTTAACATGGGACAGGATAAGCTTTCACGTAACATCTTATACAAAGAGGAAACCTGGACACAGAAGTGGACGTGCACTCAGGGAGAATGCTGCCATGTGACAGAGATCAGGTGATGCATCTCCAAGCAGAGCAACACCAGAGATTGCCAAAAACCACCAGGAGCTGCAGAGACCTGGGACAGACCCTCCCACAGAGCCTCAAGAGAGCCAGCCCTGCCCACGCTTTGATCTCTGATGTCCGACCTCAAGGACCTTGAGAGATGAGAGAATCCACTTCCGAGGGTGAAGCCTCCCAGTATGTGGTCCCCTGTCCCAGCAGCCCTGGGAACCTGACCCCTGGTGCCCCTGCATCCCTGGCATCGCCCTGCCCTCTCCCTCCTGTTCTCCAGTGAATCCAACACACTCTCAGTGAGATAGCCAGGGGGCAAGGGGTCCTCAGAGACACTGCAGCCCGCCTGTGCATTGGGAATGTGCCATTTGCAGCAGGGAGGAACCTAGCCCTTCCTCTTCCTGGCTGGAACCCAGGATTTAATCTGTGATGCAGGAAGCCTCTACTAGGGGGACTCTCACTCTGCTGAGTTCTTGTTCTCCTTTATTTTCCTTTTTGCCCAATAAATCCCATTATTATCACCCTTCAAATTGCCTGCCAGGCTAATCTTTCGTGGCCATGTGACAAGGACCCCGTCTTTAGCTGTGCTAAGGAAAAGTGCTGCAGCAGCAGAAGATGGAGTCCCACGTCCTTTGTTCCAAGAGCTGAGCGTCCTCACAGGATATGGGGAGGGGTCAGCACAGATGATCAAGAGGACTGAGATGGTTGGAGGGGGACCCCTGAGGAAGGCATCAGGGGCTGCATCCAGACCTGGGCCACCTGGGCATCCTTCTGAGGCAAGGTTCTCTCCACAGGCACATGGCCCACGACATGGCTGTCACAAGCCAGGAGGCTCACATGCTCTTGGGACTCTGGGGACATCGTGAGCCCCCGAGGGTGGTGAAGGCTGAGGGTGCCCTCCCCTGCTGTCCTGACACTATAACAGTAACAGTAACAGTAACATGCGTCTTGAGATCAAAGAGGCCGCTCTTAGTGTAATGAATGATGGCGGGGACTTGGAAATGTGCTTTTCCAGTGCACAGCAATGTGTAGCCACATGTAGTCATCAGGCACACCTAATTGGCTCCGGAAAGTGTTATGTTGTGAATTACTTTGACTGACGGGGAACTGTCAGTTTTATTAACATGCTTCTTTCGGATGATAATTTTATGTCTATAAGGATGAATTACAAGGATTTAATGAAGGCGTCAGTGCAGAATGATGGGGTCCTTTTAGCAAAGGCTGCTTCCTTCCCTCGCTCTGTGTGTGAAGGCTTGATCTCCGCGTGGTGCATGGCTTCCACGTTCTGGCCATGATGGAATGAAAAGGACAGGCTGCTTGGCTTCAGGCTGACGGTGTAGAAGCCTCACCCGCTCAAGGAGAGATGGTCCTGGGCCCGGCAGCAGCGAGGGAAATAGCGGCAGTGTTGAAAGGAATGGAAGAACATGGCACGGAGGACGGTTCGATGGCACCCGGACACCAGCCGTGGGGCTGATGGGACTCCCATCCGCCCCATTTCACGACTCGATCTCCCAGGAAGGTGTCCTCTGGAGCTGGGTCGTTTCTGTCTTTGCTTCAGTCCCTGTTCCTGCTTGTGTTCGGCCCAGGAGCTTGTGCAAAGGCCCCACTGCCATTCCCCGGCCCCTTGCGATGACGCCTCCCTGGGAAGGTCCCGACTTCCCGCACATTGCTCTCTAGAAATACCTTCTCTCTGCAGCAATCTGGTTATGTTTGCAAAAGGTGAGGTGCTCGGTGACAATTTTCAGCTCACACTTAAGTTTCTGGTAGTTTTCAGGTCCCCCTAGAGTAGCCTCATCTGAGCCTACAGCCCCGCCCCTTCCCTCCGGTGCCACCTCCCGTGGCCCCGCCCCTTCCCATGCTGTTCCTCCTCCCGTAGCCCCGCCCCTTCCCTGCTGTTCCTCCTCCCGTGGCCCCGCCCCTTCCCTGCTGTGCCTCCTCCCATAGCCCCGCCCCTTCCCTGCTGTTCCTCCTCCCATGGCCCTGCCCCTTCCCTGCTATGCCTCCTCCCACAGCCCGACACTTTCCCATGCTGTTCCTCCTCCCGTGGCCCCTCCCCTTCCCATGCTGTGCCTCCTCCCGTGGCCCCGCCCCTTCCCTGCTGTGCCTCCTCCCGTGGCCCCGCCCCTTCCCTGCTGTGCCTCCTCCCGTGGCCCCGCCCCTTCCCTGCTGTTCCTCCTCCCATGGCCCCGCCCCTTTTATGCTATGCCTCCTCCCACAGCCCCTCCCCTTTTATGCTGTGCCTCCTCGCGTGGCCCCGCCCCTTCCCAGGCTGTTCCTCCTCCCACAGCCCCTCCCCATTTTTATGCTGTGCCTCCTCCCACGGCCCCGCCCCTTCCCATGCTGGGCCTCACCCATGGCCCTGCCCCTTCCCAAGCTGTGCGTCCTCCCAAGGCCCTGTCCCCTTCCCTGCTGTGTGTCCTCCCTGAGCCCTGTCCCTTCCCATGCTGTGTCTCCTCCCATGGCCCCACCTCTGGGCTCTTGCCCTTGCTGTCCCCTCTCCCTGGTGTGGGGTCCCCTTGGAAGCTTCCTTGCTCTCCCTTATGTTGTGAGATCTGAGTCTGGGTGCCATTTATGAATAGACCTGCTCTGAGCTTCCTCCTTGAGCTCTCCCCACCTGGCTCCGTGTTCCCCCTGCAGATTAGCCACTGCTGTGATCCCCTGCATGGGCTTCCTACTTATGGAGGATCTCACACACGCTAGAAGGTTTCATGAGGAGGCCCTGGCTGCTCTGCCCAGGGCCTGGAGCAGTGTGGGTGTACAGCAGGGCAGCTCACTGCATGGTTATTTGTGGAACGAAACGACTGTGCTAAAGCCATGGCTGCAGACATACGTTGCTCTAAACATGTTTGTTATGACCATGTAAACATGCTTCCTTAGTAAACCTTATTTCTTAGGAAACCTCTTTCAGGTTTTGTGCTAACAGCCCGGATGTTTCTGAGGCCCAGAATTACGGCTGCTCTGCGCTCTGGTCGTGGTCCTCTCCTCACCTGACCTTGGGACAGGAGCGTGGGCTCCAGCTCTGGGCCTCCTGAAAAACGAGGTGTCGACTTGACTGGCCTCCTGCCCTGTGAGGCTGAGGTCATTGCCCACCAGACTGAAATTCAGCCACACATTGAACCTTTGGCAGGCCCTCAAATTCAAACCCAGACCAACCTGTCACTCTCCTTTCCAAAGCATAGGCCACTCATCATGATCAAATGTCTACTCTTCAGTCTACAAACACGGCTTGGCATTGCCTGTTTGACTGTGGGAGACTCTGTGTCTGTGCATCAGAGGGTGTGTGTATGTGAGACTGTGAGAGTGTTTGTGTATATGTGAATACACAGAGGAGTGAGTGACTAAGAATGTGTGTGTGGGCCTTTACGTGTGTAAGACAGAGTGGTGAGAGACTGCAGAGGCCAAGAGTGTGGGTGTGTCTGTGTCAGCGTATGAGATGGGGAGTATGTGAAATGTGTTGGTGTGTATGAGTGTTAGAATGTGTGTTTGTGGGTGTCAGCGTGACAATGTGAGGCTGTATGCGTGTATGAGTGTGAGAGTAAAGTTGTGTCATGGGTTTGAGGTGGCATGCAAGAGTGTGAGACATTTTGTACAAGATGAAACAGACATGAGTGTATATACATAAATGTGTAAACATTCATATGATATCTGTGCATATATACGGTGTGTGTCTAAATGTGCAGTTGATATATAGTATAATGTGATGCATGTGTATGAACATGTTTGTGGTATAGATACATGTATATATTGTATACGTGCTACATGTGTATAAACATGTACATGGCATAGATGCATATAAATATGTGATGTGTATGTATATACACATGTATATGATGTGTGTGTGTGTGTTGGGAGGGCACGGCTAGACAGTTAAAACATCAACTAGGATGCTCCAGCTGCACAAAAACAAGGCAGTCAAAGGAGAACTTCATGTGGCTTCATGCCATTTCAATGAGTGCAGAGTAGTGTTTATCTCTGGGACAAAATAAGAGACAGGGGATGGGCTTCAAGAGGGACACACACATGTAAACACACACACACATGCACATACAAACATATACACATACATGCACACAACTGTAGCATATACACATAAACACACATGCACATGCATTTATACATATAGGTGCACACATACATGCATATATGTATACACACATGAATGCACACAACCATGCACACACACATAAACACATGCACACACATGTATGCACATGTGCATACATGTACATGCACGTGTAAACATGCGTGCACACAACTACATAC